ATGGTCCAGTCTTTCCTCTTGAAGTTTGGCCAATCCCACTGTTTCTATCAGGGTGGTTGGTTGTATGGTATTCACCTCTATGCAGATGTCTTCCCTTAAGCCCCCTATAAAGCATTCCACCAGTGCGGCCTCCGGCCAGTCGTGAACCCGAGTGGCCAACCATTCAAATTCATTCTGATACTCCCTCACTGTCCCTGTTTGCCTCACCTGGGAGAGTGACTCATTGAAATTTTCATAACCAGAAGGACCGAACCTCACACGTAAGGCTTCGGTAAGGTCTAACCAGGTGGTCTGAGGGTGGGTTTTACAGTACCATTGGTACCACATGATAGCTTCACCATCCATGTGTATGGCGTCAATGGAGACCCTCTGATCTGCCGAGGTCTCATGGAATTCAAAGTACCATTCAGCCCGATAAATCCAGGGAATGGGATCATCACCTAAGTACAGAGAAAAATCGATCTTGGCAGCCTTGACTGGAAATGCTCCTCCTCGCCTAACGCCGCTGCTGCTATATCCTTCAACCTCTGTGGATCTGGGAGCTGATGACATTCGTTCGAACTGGCCTACCAGTGCTGAGAGGGTCTCCTTGATTTCTCTCAGCTCATTGGTGGTCTGTCAAACTTCTCCTTCTAAGCGCTCAATCCTCTCTTCTGCAGACGAGGCCCTGGTGGTTGGCATCGTAGCAAGGCTCTGATACCAATTGATAAGTCCCGCTGCTATTCTATCACCGATGAGCTGGTTCGAGGGAGCTCACCCTCCTAAAATGGACCAGAGGTAGAAGACGAGAGAGAGAAGAAAGAGAGAGAGAGTGTGAGAGAGATAAAGGGAGAGGAAGAGAAATCTCAATGATTCGTCACTACCCTTCATGCATTCGTTCATTGGCCTATATTGTAAATGGCTAGCTAACCACCTGTAACCGATTCTGAGCATTTTCACAGTCTATGATTACTTTTCAATACGTGGGTGTCGGGTATATACGAACGTAATGGGTGGTGCCACCCGCGTGATTCGTGTGGTGTTCTGGACTGACGCATGGCCCGTTGGGTCTGACTTGCTTCGCCTGGGTCTTCTCCTCCACTGGGCTAACAATATGCATGTACCTAGGAGATTCTGGGTTGATGTTGTGTTGGTAGCTGCATTTCTTATCAAATTGTATGCCTACTTGTGTTCTCAAGTTCAAGGCCCCACACCAACTCTTGTTTCCTAAGCCCCCATTGTTTTCCATCCCGATTTGTACTTTAGGACATTGGTGTTTTGTTTAAGATTTGTCTCCGTCTCATGCTGAACTTGATCTACATTCTATTGTATTTTCTAGGATATCCCACCACTCAAAAGGGATATAAGTGTTAACCATTCTTTCTTGCTTCTCCTCAAGGGGAGAATAGTAGTTTTGAGGAGAAGTGAATTCTTATTCCCACCTCCACACCCCAATCTTCGATTCCCTTGCTTCGTGTCGTTCTCATTCTCTTGTCCATGCTCCAGTCTATCGTGTGTACTCTCTCTAGATTTCATTCTTGTCCTTTGGATCAGCATGTGTGACTAGATAAAGTGGAACTTGAGGCTACTCCCCTTGTACTGGCAGATTCTCAGGAGAAAAACCTGAAGAGTAGTGCATTTCCTTCAAAACTAGGTAATGCCGCTTCTTTCGATCCTACTCGTGACCTTGGTCTCCCTATAGTTGTTCGAAAAGGTATCCGTTCATGCACAACTAAGCATCCCATTAGTCATTTTACCACTTATAGCAACTTATCTCCTTATCATTCTTTTCTATCTTCCATCTCTACTGTATCTGTTCCTAAGTTTGTTGCAGAGGCCTTGATGCTCTTCATGAGAATGCTAGAGGAGCTTGATGCTCTTAAGTGGAAAAATGCAATGCTAGAGGAGCTTGATGCTCTTCATAAGAATTGCATGTGAGCTTGATGCTCTTAAGTGGAAAAGGTATCCGTTCATGCACAACTAAGCATCCCATTAGTCATTTTACCACTTATAGCAACTTATCTCCTTATAATTCTTTTCTATCTTCCATCTCTACTGTACCTGTTCCTAAGTTTGTTGCAGAGGCCTTGATGCTCTTCATGAGAATGCTAGAGGAGCTTGATGCTCTTAAGTGGAAAAATGCAATGCTAACGGAGCTTGATGCTCTTCATAAGAATTGCATGTGGGATTTGGTGGACCTTCCTAAGGGTAAAAAACCTGTGGGATGCAAGTGGGTGTTTGCTGTTAACTATTGTGTCGATGGCTCAATGGAAAGATATAAGACAAGGTTGGTGGCCAAGGGTTTCTCCCAAACATATGGAGTTGACTACACAGAAACTTTTGCTCTTGTTTTCAAAATGATCTCCATTTGTGTCCTCCTTTCCCTTGCTACAATATTTGATTGGGGATTGCACTAGTTAGATGTTAAAAAATGCTTTCCTAAATGGTGACCTTGAGAAGGAGATTTATATGTTCAACCTCCAAGTTTTACTTAAGAGGAAACAAAAGGCAAAGTTTGTCTTCTCAAGAAGTTGTTATACTGTCTAAAACAGCATCCAAGGGCCTGGTTTGGTAGATTTAATAATGAAGTCAAGCGGGTTTGTTTCAAACAGAGTCAGAGTGATCATACTTTGTTAAGAGAAAAGGGGATCAAGATTATCTGGCTGTTCTTTTAGTTTATGTGGATGGCATTGTCATTACGGGAAATTGGGAGTAAGAGATTCTTGGGGGCTCAGTTTGATGTCAAAGATCTAGGTCCTTTAACGTACTCTCTTGGAATTGAAGTTGCGAGATCAGACAAAGGGGCATCTTTATTTCTCAGAAGTACATCCTAGATCTTCTACAGGACATTGGTAAGCTTGGAGTCAAGCCTACAGATACTCCAATTGATAGTAACCATAAGCTTGGTGAAGAATGTAGTGAACCTCTCTCTGATGTAAGGCAGTTCGCTTATTGGGAGATTGTTGTATTTATCCATGACTAGGCCCGACATTGCTTATGCTGTTGGGGTGTTGAGCCAGTATATGCATGCCTCTAGGGCTACTCATCTTGCAACCAGAGAGCATGTTCTGAAGTACTTGAAAAGGTTTCCTTGTAAAAGTATCCTCTTTTCCAAGCATGGCCATTCAAAGGTAGAAGCCTTCACTAATGCTGATTGGGCCAGCGCAGTTGATGATAGGAGATCTACTATAGGTTATTGCACCTTCGTTTTTGGTAACTTAGAGAAGTAAAAAACAAACGGTGGTTGCTAGGTCAACTGCAGAAGCAGAATATAGGCCTTGGCACATGGAATTGCAGAAATTTTGTGGTTAAAGAATATGTTAAAGGAGTTGGGTGTTGAAGTTCACAGTCCAATGTCATTGTATTGTGACAACAAGGCAGCAATCAATATAGCCCACGATCCTGTGATGCATGAAAGAACAAAGCATATCGAAGTCATTAAACATTTCATTTGTGAGAATCTTGAAGCTCGTGAAATCTGGATTCCTTATGTAAATTCTATGGATAAGTTGGGTGACATCTTCACCAAGGGTGTTTTAGGTACCCAACATTTGGACATCTGTACCAAGTTGGGAATGATAGATATATACAGCCCAGCTTAAGGGGGAGTGTTGTTAGGACTGTTTTTTTTTTTTGATAAATGAATGGTAATTTATTCAGATATAATAAGATGATGCTACAAAAACAGATGCCCGAGGAGAGGCACGAGCTGCTACCTCTCCTTACCAACAGCAAAGTATTACATTGAGCTCAGAAAAAAAATTACAGAGCTGCCCAGAATAGACGTTCCCTTGATACCCCTTGCTTAGCTAACCCATCCGCTATGGCATTAGCTGTTCTACCCACCCACTGAGAATTAACAATCATGTTCCTTGAATACCACTTAACTTTTCTCATACTGTCCCTGTAGCACCAAATAATTGAATCTGGATTCTTTAACCATCCCACAACAACTTTGGAATCTCCTTCAATAAGCAAATTCTGAACTCCTAACTGATCTGCAATCTGAGTCTCCTATACCCACAGAGCCAGAGAATAAAGCTAAGATATTGCTGTCTTTATCTCTCAGCACCCCTCCTATTCCTGAAGGGCCTGGACTGTTATTAGTTTGTAATGGATCATTAGTGGGCCTATTTTATTTTCTTTTCTGTTAAGTTGTAATCAGGGGTATTCCTGTAATATCCCCATTATATTTGGGCACCCTAATATATAAGCCAAGTAGGGTGGTGCCGCTAATATCTTGCAAACTTTCTTCTCTTCTCTTCTCTCCTTCTTCTTTCATTCCAGAATGATAATGTATTAGTGACTAACTATTGAGGCCCTGTAGGTCAAGGTTATTCGATTAAGATGGAGCTGATGGCAGTGTTCCATCAGCTAAATCTAGGGAAGAGACTGAACTATACTGACATGATTGTGGTGGGTGATACACAAACTATCATTGGGTGGATAGAAAACTATACCCAACGACCTTGGTGCTACAGGCACGCTATGAGAATGGTAACATTTCTAGAAAGGAAGCTGAGACTGAGAGCCACTTTCTAATCATACAGAGAACAGTCAATGGTATGGCAGATGCCCTAGAAAGACAAGGAGCCAACAGGGATCAAATGTATTGGGGGTCTGCCATAAGAAGCAAGAGAACTTTGTGCAATAAAAAGTGGGTTTCATGGGGAATGGAGATTGTCTCCCTAATGTAACTTTGGGGCTACTTACACAATCTTTCTTGTAAGTACCTACATTTTTTCCATAAACCAATTTAATTATTCAAGTTATCCATCGAAAAAACATGTTGGCAATTTAAGCCTTTGGAAATTCATAAAATGGTGCTTACCATGCCTGCTTCTTGGATAAAATGTAAAGTCATGCTTAGGAGAGAATTTGTCTTTAATCTGATACAATAATATCTCATTATTTAGATAGCATGATGACATCTTCTCTGCAAGATAAATGATTCTTTACTTGGATTGTTTCTTTTCCCCTTCTAATATAAAAATGACTAGAAAATGTTATTCTTGTTTCAGGTCCACTGCAAGTGGTCCTTGCAGACCAACTCTGAAACCTCCTGTAATCTAGATATAAAAGTGGGTAAGCTTCTAATCCTTAACTTTCCCTTATTCTTTGTGCCTGGGTAAGCTTCTGATCCTTGGATTGTTTCTTTTAACTCCTCTGCTATCATTTGATGCTCTCTCAACTCCATGTGCTGGGGTGGTATCAATGAGTTTTGCTTGTTATGATCTTCTCTATCAACCAAAATTTCTAAAATGATTTTTCCATGTGTATCTTTGATTAGGTAATTTTGTTTTTGTTTATATTCTGTTAAATGGAACTCCTGCAGTCATTATCAGGAAAATACATTAGTGCCGGTGCCCAATGTTTTCAAAATTTTGATGGTATCATAATCATGGAGAAAGTTGAATTGAATCAAATCATGAATCATGTAGTAAATCATAAGATATTTTCTGTTTTTTATGAACTTGTGATTTTCTCAAAATCTAACTCTATATAGAGAAGTGAATTTACCCTATTTGTAATTCATATCTATCATGTATTCACCTAAAACAATACAATTTACCACTTTTACATTAGAAGCCTAAGATGATGTTATCAAGTTTGCTCTTGAAGTCAAATGTTGGACATAAAAATGTCTCTTTTAAATATATATGATGAAAAAAAAAACTCTATATGGTTTCTAAGGAGTCTTTAAATAACCTAAATAAATCATTTTCTATTAAGGGATTTAAAACAAGTCTCCCTTGACAAAACTTAGTGCCTGTTTGGGATGGCATTCATGTAGGGGCTTCTAACTTTACAGATGGGTCCCACCTGGAAAGCCCAAATTAGTGAAAGCACATCAATCAAAGCTTCATCCTTCCCAAATGAACCCTAAAATAAACAAAGAAATGACAAAGCAGAGAACTAATTTTTAATTGAATTGATTCAAATTGCATGTATCATACAAGTCATGAATCAAATCATAGGATTCAAATAAAATTCATCAAGACTTTTGCAAAAAAAAAAAGAAAAAAAGATTCAAATTGAAACCCTTGGGGTTCATAATTCAAATCATAAATTGGAATATCTCTGAAATCCAAATCAGATGGCTTATGAATTATTTTTCTATGGCAAGAAAAAAATTGTGAAACCATTTCTTATAAGCCTAAACAATAGGTGGACAAACTGATTTCGATGTAGAATCTCTTTTCATTTCCCCCACATTGATGACATGGAGCTATATGAATGTTGAAGACAAAAATTCTGATTTAATATATTCTTTCAGAGTTTGTGTATAATCCAATCTTTTCATGTGGCTGCATTGATGATGGCTTAAGCTCAAGGTTTGGCATTGGGTGGTCTAGAAAAAGGGGGGATATGGGTCTGTCTAGGATATATTTTGTCTTTAGGTTAGTAGGGAACAATATATCCTATATATGTGTCTGGACTCCAAAGACGCATGTTAAAATCACTGTTCAAACAACCAGATAAGGCATCGAACTGGAGAAGGGAGAGGCTCACGGATCAGAGGTTCAGACTGGGTTGAGCGGAGGTCAAAGCGTGATGATGTGGCATATATGTATATATACTATGGGTCATATAAATACTATATATAATATATTCTACAAGTTTTTATATACTAAAATATGGTGGATGAATGGAAAATTTCTTAATTTTTAAAGAAAATTACTAGGGTTCAAGTCTCTTAATTTACATTTTCTTTAAAATATGTGTAATAAAGCAATATTTACAATAAAGAGTCATTAAATAACACAAGTAAAGAGGTGGATTAGTGGTAATTAAGCAATATATGAAAATAAGAGGTCATGGGTTCAAGTCTTGTCAAACACGTTGTAAAATTTCAATTATTTAATGGCCTGAACGATTTCATAAAACCGGGATTGGTTCACCTTTTTCTGGTTAAAGTGGCTGATCAGCTGGTTTTCACCATTTTTTTAACAAATGGCATTATTGGGGTGTGACCTACCGGCTAAGGCCCTAGGTTACAGTTTAACTGGTCCAACCAACTAGTCCAGTCCGGTTTCCTAAACACTAGTTAAAATGACTGAAATACCCTTACTGTCCAAAATATAGAAATACATTAAAAGCTTGGAAATTCAAGCATTGACTCTTTGGATCCTGCATCAGAGAGTCATATTGAGGAACAACTTAAAAGGGTTTATAGGCCCATATTGTTACTGATTATAGCTTGGCCTTTTAATTTTGTACATTTCTTTTTGTTCTTTTAATAACAGTTTTTTTTTTGTTATCTATCAAAAAAATTGCATATCTATGAGTTATTATTTTTCTTTGTTGCTAATTTCCCTTGACCATTGTTCTAGCATCAATTAAAAATACCTTACTCCATGGTGATATGCATGAAGAGGTATATTTAGAGAAACTTCATGGTTTTGTTACTAACAGGAAGGAGAAAAGGGTGTGTAGACTATAAATGTTGCATATGGTCTGAAATAAATGTCCAAGGCCTGGTTTGGTTGCTTTAGTAGGGTAGTAAGGAACTGGCTTGAAGCAGTGTAGGGTTGGTCACTTTGTCTTTAGTTGGGATACAATGTGTTAAGACAAAGATCGGTGGTGAGCCAAGATCCATGTATGAGAATAGCCAGCCCACGTATCAGGTTTACAACAGAAGAAAGACACGTCAGCAAGCAATTTGACCAAGCGGGTGTGTCGTTAGAACAATGTAACAAACTTATAACAATTTTTAACAGTTTACCTGAGCAATAAATACTAGAAGAAGGAAGAAGAAAGGGGACTGGATTCATTCAAATATCCCTCTCTCTCTCTCTCATACCTCCGGAGGTTGGTTCCCTCAGACGAACCTCGAGTTAGGCAGCACCTAACAGTTTGGTATCAGAGCCAGATGCCCAACACCAGAGCTACGTCAATGGAGGCATACGTTGATTAGGTGGAGGTTGAGCTTCATCAAGTCTCCAGTAATGTGCGAGAAATCAAGGACAACATGGCTGCTATCTTGCCTAGATTGGAACGGAACCAACCTTTCGAAGACAAAGAAATCGACCAAGAAGGGGGTAACCAAGGAAGTAGTCGAAGAGGCAATTTGGCATTGGAAAGGAATACAAAGTAATATTTCTGATCTTCTCTAGGGGAGACCCAATCCCTTGGATATACAAGGGGAAAGATTCTATGAGTATAATGAAATCTCTAGTCCAGATAGAGTGTCGTTGGTGGCAATACATTTGGAAGGATCGCCAGTTGTACCTCCAAGGGCACCCTCGTCTCTTGTGATTAGATTTCACTGATGCCCTATGTGTTCGATTTGTGGCTTTAGGCTATGAAGATTTTTGATGAGATCCTCACGAAGATAAAAACAAGTAGGAATTGTCCGCAATTATCAATTAGAGTTTGAATGGCTTGAAATAAGGGTACAGGGGTGGCCAGAAAAGGCACTAGTAGGGGTGTTTGTGGGAGGACTCCGAGAGGAGACATAGTTGGAGATCAAGGCAATGCGGACCTCCACTGTTATGGATGCAGTAGCCCTTACCTATATCCAAGAAGAGAAGATAACTTGGGCAAGGCATGTGAATAGCCCATGGTAGCAAATGAACAAGCCTTTCATTGTTGTATGGCCAGATGGGCAAGCATCCAACAAAGAAGAAAGCATCTTGGGCAAACCACCAAGTAACTTAGGCCCAAGCCCTGTTATTCCATTCACGGGCTGAGATGCAAAACTGCAGAGGAAAAGATCTTTGCTACAACTGCAAAGAGAGGTTCCGTTCCAGCCACAAATGCAAGTCTCAACAGGCTTTTATCCTCCAGGTCGATGAGGAAGGAGGTGGGATGCTACAAGAGGACAGATCGGCAACACAAGAAGAACAAAGTTGGATACAACCTGAAATTTCATTGCAGGCCTTAGTTGGCCTTTCTTTGCCTCAAATTATGAGGGTGTCAGGTCTTGTTTGTGTAAAGAGACTGGGCCGAATGGGCCCTAACAGCCTTTCGTGTGATATCCTTTATTTTATCTTTTATTTTATGTTGATGGGCCTCACTTAATGGGCCTGTTATTTGTTCTTATTTTATTTTCTTTATGTAACTGCCAAGCTGGCCGCCCACTTAAGGGTATACTTGTCATCATCAATTTTTCAGAGATTAATAAAAATAGGGTTAGAGGAGAAGGGTGATTGATTCGACTTCTTCTTCTCTTACCTCTTCTCTCCGCCATCTTCCTCTCTTATACAGTTATTCAGATCTGTTCCATTCTGCTAATCACTAAGTTTAATCTTGATATTAGAGGACTGATTTACATCTGTTTGGAGACGCCACATGTAATTTCCCATTGACAGTGGTAGCGCACTCTAAACATCGTGACTACAGTGCTGGTTAGACCATTGAGATTACCAGTTTAGTGTACCGCCACATTCAAGGTCCATGTAGCAAATGGGACCTCACTACAATGTGATGGGATCTGCACCAGGATTGGGTTGCATATCCAAGATCAGCAGTTTGTTGTTGATCTATACCCACTGGAGCTAAGTGGAGCTGGTATTGTTTTGGGAATTCAACGGTTGCAACGACTCAGGCCAGTTCTATGCAATTGGGCTTGCTTGTCTATGGATTTTATGGTAGGGGGAACAAAGGTACATTTGCAAGGGCATCCAGCTAGCATGTCTTGCCCAATGAATTTAGCATCTATGTTGAAAGAGGCACAGGACCCAAGTTAGCCAATTATTTGGGGATTAAATCAAGCAGGTCTTATCCAAGGCCCATGATACAGTGGATCAAACAGATTATAAGCAGTAGCTAAGTGATCTTCTCCAGTAGTATGCCATAATTTTCAAGGAGCCAACCAATCTGCCCCCAATAAGGAGTCATGATCACAGAATTCCTCTAGTGCCGGATGTGCTTCCAACCAATGTAAGGCCCTACCGTTACCCCTATATTCAAAAACAAAAGACTGAAAAACAGGTTCAAGAATTGTTGGATATAAAAATTTTCTTCACCCCAGTCATAGCCCATTCTCTTCCATTCTTCCCCTGTCCTTGTCAAGATGAAAGATGGCCATTATGAAAGTGACATACCAAATTAGCATTCATGAAATTGACATACCAAAAACAGCTTTCTGGACTCATGATGGCCATTATGAATTCCGGGTTATGCCATTTGGCCTCACTAATGCCCCAACAACTTTTCAGGCCTTAACGAATGACTTGTTCAGGCCCCATCTACGTCGTTTTATACTAGTCTTTTTTTTTTGACATTTTAGTGTACAGTCCAACATCTAGTGGATTTGCAGATTACTCTAGATATTCTCTTTTAAAATCAGTTTTATGCCAAAGAATCGAAATGTTCTTTTGGGCAAACCCATGTACTCTATTTGGGCCATGTAGTGGAAGACAGAATGGTATTAGCAGATCCAGACAAAGTATCTACTATTCGACAGTGGCCAGCTCCAAGTAACATCAAGGAGCTCCGGGCTTTCCTAGGACTGACGGGTTACTACTGTCATTTCATTAAAAACTATGGTTTAATCGCAGCCCCACTGACAGCTCTACTGAAGGACTCCTTTCTTTGGACTGACAAGGCCCAGGCCGCATTTGAAGCCTTAAGAGCATTTGTGTCATCCCCACCAACCTTGACTTTACCTGATTTCAACAAGCCCTTTGTGGTCGAGTATGACACTTTGGGCGGGACAGTGTTGATGCGAGGACAGCCCCTTGCTTTCTTTAGCAAGGCCTTGTCTCCCACTCAAGACTACTCTTCCGTCTACAACCGGGAATTGATGGTGGTAGTGTTATCTGTTCAGCATTGGCATTCTTACTTATTGGGCCATAAGTTCGTGATCAGGACTGACCACCAAAGCTTGAAGTTCCTTTTGGAACAACATGTCCTCTCTCAGGACCAGCAGCATTGGGTTTCAAAGCTAATGGGCTTCAACTACGCTATTGAATATCAACCAGGCGCAACAAATCAGGTCACAAATGCTCTGTCACATCAGCCCAAACCAGTATTTGCTATCTGTTAGTGAAGGGGTATTTCCATAGATCCAATGGAAGTCCTCCGAAGTTGAGCAAACACCTCCTCTAAGGATGGAAGGGCTGATCCTCCTAGTATCTGGGCTCGTACTGGTTCATACTCGGATTTCAGCCCCACCAGAAACCGAGTCACATCAAGCTGCTCCCTCTGTTGTTGTTGAATCTTGACATCAGGAGTGAGAGGGTGATAGACATTCAACTCATTACGGATGTTTCTCATACTGGCAT